CCCCAAAACCCCAAAACCCCAAAACCCCAAAACCCCTTTCTTGTTAGAATTTATTGATTATCACGATATAGATCTTAAACCTTGGATATTAGTCTTTTAATAAGTTTCTGGAAGTGATGAGTTGCATTACTTCGGAGGTACCTTCAAGGATTCTATGGACTCTGAGATCTCTATAATATCTCTCAATTGGATATTCTCTAAGGTATCCGTATCCTCCATGCATTTGGAGGGCGTAGTCAACTAGATCCATACATTTTTCTGTAGCAAAATACTTTGCCATGGCTCAGTACATTGTTTTCTCCTCGTTGTTCTGATCAATCATGTCAGCAGCATTTCTTACCATTAATCTGGATGCTTCAAGGTCAGTAGCCATCTGTGCTAGCTTAAACTGAAGATATTGGAAGTTTGCAAGGGGTTTACCAAACTGCTTTCTTGTTTTAATATACTCTGTAGCTGTGTCAAGGCAAAAAGCTGCTCCTCCAAGACTACAACTAGCAATATTTACACGACCTCCATCAAGCCCAGACATAGCAATCTTAAATCCTTGACCTCTTGAGCCAAGTAAATTCTCCTTTGGAATCTTACAGTCTTCGAAGATGACTGCTCTGGTTGGTTGCACGTTCCATCCCATCTTAGTTTCGTTCTTTCCGAATTTAAGTCCTTCTGTATCTCCATCAACGATTAAGCACGAAATTTCTTTTTCTCCAGTTTTGGCCATTACTAGGAAAACATCTGAATCACCTGCTCCGCTGATGAAGGCTTTCTCTCCGTTGAGGAGGAAGTAATCGCCTTTATCCTCGGCAGTGGACTTCATGGCTATGGCATCAGATCCTGAGTTAGGCTCAGTAAGACAATATGATCCAAACAAGTCGAAGGTGGTCATACTAGGAAGATATTTCTGTCTTTGGTCTTCATTTCCATAAACATCAATCATCCAGGCGCACATGTTGTGGATGGAAATATAGGCTGAAGTTCCAACACACCCAGTTGAGAGGGCCTCAAAGATGAGACTGGCTTCTTTCCTACCGAGGTTTACTCCTCCAACATCTTCTTTGACGTAAATACCAGCGAAACCGTAATCAGCTGCTTCTTTAATGACATCTTTTGGGAAGTGCTTCTTCTCATCCCATTCAGCTGCGTTTGGCATGAGGAGGGTTTCTGAGAAGCTCATGGCAGCTTCTTGGATCATTCTCTGCTCTTCATTCAACCCATTACTATTAACGAGTAAGGAGATTGATCTCTTCCCATTGGTAGTCACTGAAGGATACTTTTTAGCTACAAGTTTTAAGGCTCTTCTAGAAGCAAACATTTAATAAGATTATTATAATCACAATTTATATTAATAAATTGGGGTTTTGGGGTTTTGGGGTTTTGGGGTTTTGGGGTTTTGGGGTTTTGGGG